GATGGTGGAAGCAGAGAGAGAGAGAGAGAGAGAGAGAGAGAGAGAGACTCTCCTCTTCTTTTATTTTTTATTTTTTTTTCCTTTTTGTCTTTTTTCGTGGCTGGCAACGGATCGCAACCCTCAGTGTCGCGCCCGTACCGGACCGGGACCGGCCACGGGATCACAACCCTCGGTGTTGCTCCCGCCCCTCGCTCAGCCAGTGAGCGGCCGGTCTGTATGTGGGATCCGAACCCTCGGCGGGAGCGCCACCGCGCTTCCCAAGCGGCGTACTATAGCAGTGCGCCACCGGGCCGGCCCGGAACCATTTTTAAAAATCTCGGTAAGTTGATTCTGAGGTGCAGCTGGGTTGGGGAACCACTGTTGCAAAGTATTCAACATACTGAGCTTGCCCCTGACCTGCTGTGGGTCCTTGGGCAACCTACACACTCTCTCTGGGCCTCAGCTACCAAGTCAGAGAATCTGAATGCCACAGAGCCGGAAGAGCCTCTCATCTAAGCCACCAGTTGTAAACATGAGGAAACCAAGAACCAGAGAGATGGGGTGACCTACTCAAGGAGCTGGGCCTCAGGCCCATCTCTAGAGTCTCTCTTGCTATATCCCCCAAGGGAGTTTAATTATTGGAATGGCTTCTTGCCGGTCCCACGCCAGCTGGTACGTAGCAGCAGCTCACCTTGTACCTTCCCTTTGCCTGTTCCCACATGTCCAGGGCTTCTATGATGAGAACTGAGAGGAGTGAGGGGACTGGGGGAGCCAGGCCCCCCAGGCAAAGTGCAGGGGTGCTCACCTGGAAGTACACCATCCAGTAGGGCACCAGGGTCACCATGACGGGCAAGATCTTCACCAGCACCTGGAAGTTGGCAATGTCCTCTTGGTGGGAAGGACAAGGCTGGGGAGACCTCTGGTCAGGCAGCAGGTGGGCATCTTGAGGGTCTCTGTGGGGCCACAGGGGCAGCAGCATCATTCCCACCACTGTGGCCACTGTTTTCACCTCCACCACTATCCACTAATTTAATATCACCATTTATCACAGCCACCACCCCTGAAATCACCACCCCATCTCCTCCACTCCACTGTTAGCGTCCTTTGCCATCATCATCACCATGACCAAGGCCAGCACCTTCTGTAAGGTGATCACTATCACCAGAACCCTCCTCTTTATGGAGTTTTCATTACTATCACCGTCACCACCGTTGTCAATACTATCACTATTAGCTCTTTTGTAGCAAAAGATTGGTGTCTGATCAGGGCCCACTCCACTCTAGAGCTGTGGTCCCTTTGGGTCCTGAGGGAAGCAAGGCCAGAGACTGAGGTCAGCAGAGTCTTAGAGATTTTTTGGCTTGTAGCATCAATTTTCCCTGGGAACCAGGGGAGTTCCAGTCCAAGCCTGACTCAGAGAGAGAGGATTTGGTACACCAAAATTTCCCTGCTTGCTGCCTCCAAGGCCATCCTTCTCTCAACATTTTAACCCTTTCACTACACGCCAAGGAGGTAAGGAGTGGAGAGGTATGCATGGAGGGAACATCATTAGGAGACAAGATAGATCAGCTACTGCTGCAACCTTTACTCTTTGCCCTCCGTCCTGAGAGGTTTCTGATACCTTCTTGTCAAAGATTCTTGCATCATCCTTTGAAACTTCTCTTTTTTTTTGGTGGCTGGCTGGTCAGCATGGGGATCCGAACCCTTAACCTTGGTGTTACAGGGTGGTGCTCTAACAACCGAGCTAACTGGCCAGCCCTCTTTGAAATTTCAAAAGGGACAATACCAGTGTGGTCATCTCCAAAGACAGCCACCACCAGCTCCTCCCTCCGAGTATGTGATGCCTTTCCTACACTAGCCAGTGGAGTTCATTCACCCTGCCACTGATTCCAGGCTGGCCTTGAGACCGCTTTGACCAATAAAATAAGGAAGTAGTGATCTCTAGGACTTCTGTGTCTCATAAGAACCTTAAGAGGATAGATAGTTTCTGCTTCCTTCCTTCTGGAACATTCACTCTTGGAATGCTCCCTCCTTTTGCAACCCAGACAGTATGCAGTGAGAAGCTCAAGCCACATGGCGAATCCACATGAAGGGGAACAGAAGGGCTCTAGTTAACGGTCCCAGCCGAGCTCTCAGCCTACAGCCAACACTGACTGCCAGCTATGTAACTGAGCTATCTGGGATGTTCTAGACCTTTCAAGCCCCCAAATGACTGCAGCCCCAGTGACATCACCAGGAGCAGAGAACTGCCCTGCTAAGCCCAGTCATGCACAGAATTGTGAGAGGGGATAAAAAGGCCATTGCTTAAGACACTAAGTTCTAGTGTGGTTTGTTGGGCAGCGATAGATAATTAAAACAACCAGACTCGTTGCACCTGACGGCTCTACACACAAACCTTCTATCAGTACACCAGATGGGGGAAGCATGTTCTTCACCTTTTCCTAGGTCCTATTGACAAGACCTCTAACTGGCTCCAAGGTCTGGAGACAGATTTGTTCAGCATAAGTAGTTAATTAACTTAGGAAGGAGAGAGGCAAAAGGAAGCTATTGTGCTTGTGCAAATCCATTCAGAACCTTCCTCCCTTGCAGGGCAGCCAATGGAGAAAGGAACAAGTTCAGTAGATTTCCTAAGACTCTGTTATACTTAGCAACAGGGCAGTGTAGAATTACTCATATTATATCCCGACAACCTTCACTGGTACCGTCATCTCCATGATCACCACCTCTATTGCCACTGTCTTCCGTCTGTTCATCTTCACTGTAGGTACTAACACCATCATCCCCATTTTTATCACCATTATCACGGTCAAGACCATGACTGTCCTCATTCTTTCTACTGTTAGAGGGTCACCAATAATACCACTACCACCACCTTGACCCGCACAGCCATCCTCAGTCCCAGTGGGCAACTCTAGCTGCCCACCGGAGATCAGATCATCATAAAGGGCCATCACTAGAGGTGAACCACAATGTCCGCAATCTGGACCAGACCTCCCCGGCTACTTCTATATGGCGCTTCTCCAGGTTGGGTGGCCCCCTTCACCTAGAGCCCCTCCTTACCTGGCGGAATGTCGTTGCCACAGCCAAGGGCAGCAGTTTTGGAGTGCAAGCTTAAGCATAGAGGACACTTGGCTGCCCGTGGGTGGCTTGGTGATGAAGATGGGAGTGGCAAAGAGGAAGATGAAGAATGCCAGGCCCACACAGCCCACAACGATGCTGTAGCCCAGCAGGAAGCTGATGTTCTGCTGGATAAAGGCCACCACCAGCAGCGACAGTACAGCACCCATGTTGATGCTCCAATAAAACCAGTTGAAGAAGCGGCGGGTGGCATTGCGACCAAGATGCATCACCTGCCAGCCAAGAAGGAGTGAGAGTAAGGGCCATGGAGGTCCAGGGGCACTCTCTGGTCCTACACCTCAGTGGATGAGCATTCCAGCACTTTCCTAGTCTCTGATCACTAATGGGCACTCAATAAATATTTGTTGATGAATGAATAAACCCTTCTCTTGGGAGTCACTTGTTAATGATCAGGACATTTTGGCACAGCTGTTTTTGCACACCCATGACACACATTACTTTTTTTATTGTCACCAAGTAGTGCACATAACAGATGTCTCTGATGCCACTTTGTTCATTTCTGGTTGATTTATCCCTTTGTCTTTGACTGAGCAGCCTACACTATGCATTACTTTTATGATCAGGAAAAAAGTCAATAAAGATCTCAGTTCTGTTTCACACTATTAACTATGATGTATGTGTGTTACTGAAAGAACAGAAGTCTGATTGAGAATTTCCTCTCCAGTTTAGAGATGCAAACAGGGAATTGTACTGTGGCCCCTCCCTTCCCCTGACTTGCCTCCCTCTGATACATGCCCAATCAAACATGGTTGGCATAATCAGGGAAAGCAGAGGTGGTCCTGGACACTCCAAGAGCGGGTTCTGACCTGGTGAAAAAAATTTTTTTCAGGCCCCCCAGCAAGGGCAGATGGGCTGAAATATCTTTACCCAGGATTTGGATCGATCTGCAACAGTCAGGCCTCAGGCCCCCTTCTGGTCTGCTGACTCGGGTCAGCAGCACTGGCTGCCCCCTCCTCTACCAGAGCCTGGTCCCAGATTCTGACTCAGCAGGTCTGGGGCAGGGCCTGGGCATCTGCATTTCTAAAAAGCCATGAGGACTAGGGGTCACATCTCTACAAAAATGACTCTATATTTTTAAACCAGTCACCTTTTCAGTAACCCCCAAATCTCAGAATCCATTACTTTCTTCCACCCAGAAATACATATTTCCACTAGCCAAGATCTTGTCAAGTTTTTCTTTCTGCAGTTGCATTGAGAAAAAGATAAGTATTTTGCTCCTTATCCAAATGTAAAATTATAATCCACACGGATATGCTTACAGCTGCATTCTCCTGGAGATTCTGAGGGGTCCTCTTGGCTATGAGGAGGGAGGGGCATGCCCAACTCACTGAGAAGGCTTGCTCTAGACATTCAAGCAGAAACTGAATAAGTTCCATCATGAGCAGCCACTTTCATTTATTAATTGGAAGTAAATGAATACGACAATTGTAACTCTGAGCAGAAGACCAGGCAACTCACTCAGGATATAAATGAGTTCTTCCAGAATGAGCAGACACTTTGTCCACAATGATGGATGGCCCTTTCTGAAATCAGCAAGGTTGTTGAACATGCAGCTCCTGGGTGTATAGCTGTCTGCCAGATGGTGCTAGTCCCTCCCATCCCCACATCCCCCACCTCCCTTCCCCCCTAAATCCTGCAGCAGCCTCCTCACTGCCCTGGTGCACCCACTCCTGTTGCCCCACCCACCCTCTGCACCGCAGCCAGAGCTGCTTTTAAAGAACTCAAATCTGATGTCTGTTGCTGCCACAGACCATTTCAGGGTTTCTGCCCTGTCCTAGGGGTCAGGTCCCAACTTGCTGACGCAGACTTCCAGCCTGGTCTTGCTCCACCCAAAGTCCATGCTTGGTAATGGGAGGACGCATGGGAGCAGCTGTCACTGTTGATACCATGGGGGGCTCTGCCTCCAGGAGACAAGTCCTGCTACAGTGGGCGCTGGATGGCTGAGGCCCTCTGGAGGTTACTAGAGTCAAGGGCACAGGGTAAGGGCATCTGGGGGAGGGGTGGCGGGATGTCAATGAAAGAGTAGAATTAAGGGAAGATGGGAGATTCCTATTGGTGAATTTTGGGGGTCTCCTTGTCTAAAGGAAGCTCAACAGTGAGTGAGAAATAGCCAGGGCTGCCCTGGGGACACTGAGTCCCCATCACCAAAGGAATCTAAACAGGTTGGACCAGTGACTCCTCGGCAAGGACACTGGAAACTGTGCTGGCAGCTGGATTGTGGATGCCAGCTGGATGAAATGATTCTTTTAAAAAAGTTCCCTCTGCAAGTATAATATATGTAAAGAACATTAGAAAAACAGAGACAATTAGGGAAAATGTGCAATCAATCCAGTGGCCTGATCATTCTTCAGTTACAATCTTTTCCCAGTGGTCCCCCCTTTCGTGACACCCAGTCTTTTCGCATGGCTGTGCTCATATTGTGCACTCAGTCCCGCATCCCGCTTGCGCTCATCAACACTGTATGTGGTTGTTTCAATGATATTACATATTAGTTTAAACTATTGTCTAATATCCCACTGAGTAAAGCTATCAAAATATAGCCATGTGGTTAGACATTACTCATTCACTTAGCAAATATTTATTGAATTTCTCCTACGTGCTATGGTCTATCCAAGGTGGAACCAAGAAAAGCTTAGAGGTTGAGATTTTTGCCTACAAATATAGCCATGTGGTTAGACATTACTCATTCACTTAGCAAATATTTATTGAATTTCTCCTTCGTGCTATGGTCTATCCAAGGTGGAACCAAGAAAAGCTTAGGGGTTGAGATTTTTGCCTAAGTGCCCCCAAACACTCCCCTTCCCGCCCCCCAGGAGCAGAGCAAGTCTTGGGATCTGAACAAGTCTGCCCAACCACCTCTGGCACAACTGGTCAGAAGCGGCTGGCAGGCTCCTTCCCCTAATCCCCCCGATTCCAATAACACACAGAGATGGGACTCCTGGTGAGGCCTGAAGTCCAGCCGCCCTCACCTGGCTCCTTGACCGGCTCTCTATGGCATTATGATAAATGGATTAATGTCTCGAGACCTCAGTGTCCTCATCTGTAAAATGGGCACAGTAAGACTACCTACCTAACGGGTAGTTAGGATTAAAGGAGTTAAAACCCTTAAAGTGCTTAGCATGGGGCCTAGCACCTCACTCAAAGGCGGCCAACTACGGCTGTTCCTACAGTTGTCACCCTGTGCTTTGTTAGGGCTGGCACCCCCTCATCTTTCAAATAAGGAAACTGGGCGCAGAGAGGGGAAGTGCTTTGTCCGAGGTCACGCTGGGAGCCAGCGCCTCCTGACTCCGGGTCTGGGGCCCACGTCCATTGCTGTCACCCACCCCACCCCGGGCCTCTCTTTGGCTCGGGGCCCTCCTGCCACTCACCTGGTCGGCACCGAAAGAGGTGAGGTTGCTCCTGACGGAGCTGGCGGCCAGGGCGAGGAGCAGCAGCCCGCAGTAGAGGGTGGGCGCGCAGTAGGGGCTGGGCGAGGCGCGCCGGCAGCCGGGCGCGGGGCAGGCGGGTGCCAGCGACGACTCGGGCATCTCGCCGCAGAAGGAGCGGCA